AGAGCTCCCGTCGAAACACCTTCCGACAGCAGCGACGACGATGGCGACGAGTGTTTCCTGGGCGCAGTGAACACCGACGACATGGCCCGACGTCAACGAGACGATCCTGAGCTGCGCGCACTAATAGAGCACCTGGAAGGGCGTGGGAGTGCCACACCACGTGTTTTTTCACGAGCCCGCCGACCTTTGTCATTAGACAAGGAGTTCTCTACAAAGAGAACTTTGGCAACGTGGCTGCTGGTAATCCCGACCGACCTTCGAGAGGAGATCTTCCAAGCCTGCCACGACGACTCGACGTCCGAACACCTCGGTTACAGCCGGACACTGGCTCGTATTCGTGAAAGTATTACTGGCCCAAGCTCCCCAAAACCATCCACCTATACACACGATCATGCCATGAATGCCAGCGACGAAAGAAACGTCCAACGAGGCCGGCCGGACTCTTGCAGTCAATTCCTCCACCAAAGGCACCCTTCCAGCAGATCGGAATGGATCTACTTGGCACTTTTCCGCCGTCAAGGTAGGGAAATCGCTGGATCATCGTCGCCACAGATTATCTTACGCAGTACGCCGAAACGAGAGCCCTTCCTTCCGGAACTGCTGTGGAAGTTGCCAAGTTTTTGATTGAATCCATCGTCCTCCGGCACGGCGCTCCCGAAGTCCTGATCTCCGACCGTGGATCCTCGTTCATGGTCCAGCTGACACAAGAAGTCCTTCGTCTCAGCCACACCAGCCACCGTCGCACCACGGAGTACCACCCTCAGACCAACGGGGTGACGGAAAGACTCAACAAGACCATCGCCGACATGATTTTCATGTACGTCGACGTGGAGCACAAGACATGGGACGAGGTGTCACCGTACGTCACCTTTGCCTATAATACGGCCGTGCAAGAAACCACCGGGGTTACACCCTTTCAACTGGTCCATGGTCGCAAAGTGACGACAATGCTGGACGCAATGTTACCCCACGAACCGGCTCTCGACGGAAGCGACGACGCCCAGGTGGTTGCCCAACGGGCAGAAGAACTCCGTCAGCTCGCCAGACTCCGGATTCATGCCCAACAACGTATCGACACTGGCCTCTACAACCTTCGTCGCCGGGACGTCCACTTCCAGCCCGGAGACAGGGTGTGGGTGCGGACACCGATCCGCCGCCGTGGTCTCAGCGAGAAACTCCTAAAGCGCTACTTTGGACCCTACAAGGTGCTTCGTCGACTCGGGGATCTGAACTACGAGGTGATGCCCGACGGAACACGGACTGCGTCACGCCGCCCTCGACAACCAGAAGTCGTCCATGTCGTGCGCAGGAAGCCGTACTACGCTCGATAAGACAGTGGACCTCACGTATTTCAAATGACTCTTTAGTTTACCGTTCATTTTATTTGCTTTGTTTTGTTTTTGGGTTGCATCGGGACGATGCACTTTTTAAAGGGGGAGTAATGACGCGCGCGCAGCTGGCTAAGTACGCAGCGCGCGTGTGGTCCAGCGGTTATCGCGCTTGCCTTGCATGCAGAAGGCCAGGGTTCGATACCTGGCCGCGGCTACACATTTTTGTTGACACTGACGTTGGTGAATTGGAGAAGTGTCTTCCTGATTCGAGGTTAGAATGTTCTACGCGCCGAACCTTCTACGCCGAACGATCCAGAAACCCACGAGGGTACATAAGGGATTCCTCAAGGCGAGCGGAGTCAGTTTCGCACCAGCGTTCGACTCTGCTGCTACGCCGACTTCGACGCCGGCCACGCTCTGTTATTATCTTTTGTACCCGTTTATTTTTGGCACAAGTTCGCCACATTAAACGTCTAGTTCTTTCTGTTTATTTATTGTTCTTTTGGTCACCACCCCTGACAATATTCTTCGAAAAAGAGTTGATTTATTGTTTTGTGATGACGTTGAGGAAATTTTTAATTGGAAACATATGTCTATTTTCATCAATTAAAAGGGTAATTAACGAATTTGAATTAATAAACCGACTGAACGTTGCGATTATCCTCCTATTCTATGTTCGGCTGGCCTTATACTTCAACTGCACAAAGCGCTTTGGTGCAACTTTTACGGCAGCTTTCTAAACCAATCTGTTATTTAAAAACAAAGACCCTGCATATATATATATATATATATATATATATATATATATATATATATATATATATATATATATATACCGGATGTTCCATTTTCATATGAAAATATTTATTGCAAAACATTCGTAAAAGATGAACTAATTCGGTTCGTGTAGGTGGGTTCTGAAACCATATGATATTTGTTTTGTTTATTTATAAAATAATTAATGACGGAATTTTATGTAATGACCTGACTTATCGCAAAGATTAGCCACCCGCATAATATCTCCCTGGCCCTATCTATAACCCACCTGCATGAACCGTATCAGTGCATCTTTTGCGAATGTTTCGTGACAAATTTGTTCAAATTCAAATGAAACACCTGGTATATCCCTCTCTCTCTCTCTGTCTCTCTCTCTCTCTCTCTCTATATATATATATATATAGAGAGAGAGAGAGTGGGAGAGAGATAGATAGAGATACATGGATGTGTCTTTATGCGAACGCGGACAAAGTCATAGGTTCTAAAACGGAGACTACGAGCTCGGACTTCGCTTTTGAATCACTACATATTTTTCAAGCGCTCTTTATATCCCTTGCTATTTTTGCATTTTATTTGTGGGCGACATTATGTCACTGGAGCTGTGAAACTCTCAAGCAGGCTTGATATTTCATGCGATTTTACTGTTTTTCAGTGAAAAAGCTTGAAATATTTCCTCGCCGATCGGCTCACTGTCGCCAGCTTCATTTGCTTCCCCGACTACACTATTTTAGCTCGCCGTATAAATAAAACAGCAGGAAGGTCGCCGGCTCGAGTTTCTCTCGTTCGCCTTCTCTGCCGACTCGTGAGCCCCAAGCGCAGACGCGCTGCTAAATCAGAGCGAATCGAAACGGGCTCGTGTTGGCGGCTGAGCATCCAAAAAAGAGGAGCCCTGCGCATCTTGTCCTATCAGTCAATACATAAAGTTTGGTGGGGCCACCATTTTAAATTACAACTAGCGGCATGCTCGCTTTACAATGGGTATGGAACTGTCTTTTATCCCTTGCTCCTCGGAAAAATGTGGTATATATGGTCTAAGGTCGTTCAAAACTTTAGTTGGGCAAAATGTCTGCGCTTACGCAGTGTCTCCATTCAGCGCTGTAAATCAAGGAATTCAGATATTTCGGACGAATTAACGGCTATAAGATATCTCGCTTATCGGTAACGCAATTTGAGATGGTATGTTTGTAAGGAACGTGAGGCAGAGATTAAAACAGTTAATGCACTTTAAATCTTACCTACATCACCAATTACGTTTAGGTAAATATTTAAATACATAGATATTTTATGGCCTCCCAAGAAAACTTGACATGATCAGCCGCATTATTAGTTTGACTAAAAATAAACAACTTCTACAATAAACAAGTTCATATAGAGCAATCGAGTTACAAGCTCAACTATTGTACCATACATAATTCATCCCGACGGGCCAGCTGCGAATTATGATGTACTGCTTCTCTTATTAACCCACATGGCTGCCATTTGTGCTAGGGTGTATGTAAATCAAATAAGATGAAGCAAAAACAAATACTAACCTGATATTGTCGCTTTGATAACCGAGTTCGAAATGCCTACAGCTGATGCGCGAGAGCACGGAGTCCAAACATTTCCGAGTCTCGAATAAACATTAATTCCAAGTCCTAAAATAAATAACATATCAATTTGATTAGCTGAGTTTGGTGGACATTTACATTGTCTCGATTATAGGTATTATTTAAAGAAATACACACACACACACAGGGAGAGTTAAAACATATAATACAATAAACTTGCCACCACAGCGTAATTGAGCGTTTTATATGCTCCGAAAAAAGGACACCATTTGAGCCCATCCGTTTTAAGTGCCTTATTTGCCGCCAAAGTCAGACCACCGTTGGTGTACCGAGGCCGAGAAAAAATCTCTCCGTCCGACATGATTTATGCCACATATGTCCTTCGCGGAGCAGCCAGCGTAAGAATAAAGCGAAAACAGCATTACAAGTGAAATATGTAGTCTCATCGGCCGACCAAAACATCCCCTACTACAAGAGAAGTGTTGTCGGCCAGACAATTTCCATTTCATTTTAGTGTACGGTCTACTCAAGGCCGGAATAGCTATGGCGACTACGTTGGTAGATACACATTGGATTTTTTTTTTGTTTTATAATGTTTTTATTTATTGCTTGCCTCCTCTGTCGTTTTTTTTTTTTTTCATCTCAATTCGAAAATATTTTCTTTACACTTCTTTTTGTGATCTTCACTCGACGCTACGTCCTGCGCCAGCTCCAACCTCCCCAAGACAGATATTTGTTTATATTTGAGTGGGTATTTTTTTTAACGCTGTATGGCTGCTCGTCCATTATTTCTTCGCGACAACGGAACGCAACACGAAACTCTTTTATTCCAGTCAAGATACCACTGGCCCTAACCGTGACTTTGTGGCTATCGGCGTATAGTGGGCATTATTTTTTTGAACAGGGTTTGCCGTTCATTCCTACGGTATAGGAACTACTCCGATCATGCCTCAGTTTTGTACAGCTTTTTGAAACAAGCGGTGACGACAAAAGAAGAAACAAAAACACAGAAATTTTGGCAGTGCTTTGGTATTTTTGAGAATCACTATGCGTAGAATACATCGTGGCATCGGTAAATCTCTGCGAACTTATTATACATACAGGGTGTTTCATCTAACTTATTACGAAACTTAGAAGAAGCTCGTACCGGCTACGCGTGTGGGAGAAACGCAGTATTGTATACAGTTCTATTCATCGAGGCTATGTCTTTCAGATGTGCCAAACCGGTTCATAAATGCGGAATAATTATCTAACTTTTTTAAATATTAACTTTTGTGCGGAGACTGTCCAATGCGATCGATGCAGAGCGCCTTATTACTGATGTTGCTCGTCTTCCTTGCAGCTCACCGAACTTCACTTCGTCGGAGTCGGAGTCTGACCGGGGCAAGGGCGGTCGTGTCGAAAAGATCGCCTGGCCGGCGTATGATCCGGTGCATCAAAAGTACCTCATGATAGGTAAATCACCTTATTTTTGGAAACTTCCTACGGAAAGGCTGTACGTGCGTTCCGCGCATATCACCTCTTCTCCGTGCAAAGCAAACGGGCACACGAATTGCACGCCCTAGCCATCTACGTGTATGTGCGTGCGAGCCGTACATTTAAGCTAGACGATATACTCGGGCAATTTTCTAAAGCAATGCCTTCATTGGTGCGAAAGCCCGTGGACTCGGACACTTCGACGGTACATCAAAGTGGCGCACACACGTTGTTCGCTTCCTCCGAATTTCCGCGTATAATTTCCCCCAAGCATACGTCTATGTTTAAGAGGCGAAATCAATGTGTTCACATTGCATTCAGGTTTGTATACAGTGTGGCACAACATCAAAGCAAGCTCAGCTTTTGTACCATATCTTGTTTCAGATTAAGTCAGAGCGGAATCAAGAGCTGAAAAACCTACATGCATCAACGCATAAACTAAAAAAAAAAAACACGAAGTCAAGGTGCAGTTTGTGCAAGTTGTTGGTCTATTCAGTAAAAACAGACGCAGAGAAACGCGACGAACACCAAAACGTTGCGATTTTTGCGCCGCTTTATTGACGTACTCGATGCATAACGTTGTCTATGCTCTCACTGAAGGAAAATGAAGCATAGTTTTTCGCTGTGTACCATAGTTACTCACTGACTCAGAAGTGCTTGGCCTACTGTGTCTACACTTCTTGCTTCGAATTCGTTCTTCGAACTTCTTATTCCCTTGTGCCGTAATCTCATTGAGTGGGAGGCTGAAATAAGATGCACAGGACATCTGTTTCTGAAAGGTGAAATTGTATTCTAGGCATTGATTTGTCTCAAAATTAGTTCAACATGTTACTAACCACGTCTGAACTACTTATCCATCTTGCAGGTCGTAATAATTTTTTGACGCGAACTAATAGAAGTTTTAATTTGATCTGAGCGGCTGAAAGACTCCACTGGCACCTCTAAAAACGTGACGTCAAATGCGATCTGGGGCAGTATATAGGGATTGCAACTTTTGTTGAACGAAGGCTGGTGAAGCTCATACTAGCGAAACGAAAACACCTCAGCAAAGTCTGAGTTTGTTAGACGGCATGCACAGTTTCTAAGTTATACAACGCGTGGCGCCACCGCGCTGGAAAATCTTAAAACTGATAATGCTGGTTTTAGTATTACTTGTAATGTCATTTTTCTCAATAGCTCATATGATTCTATAAATAATAAATGACATGCCGGAAACACCAGAGCGTGAATATTCCTAAGATGTGAAAACTTCAGATTGGGCGAGCTGGTTGTTCATGTTTATCGATGTTACATCGCACTCGAAAAACTATCGCTCAATCTTCCAAGCACACACAAAACAAAACACACACACAGCGCTCACTAAGAACACTGTATTGCGTGACAAACTTCTGTCAGGAAAAAACGGAAACTGAAAGATGGCAAATTCCTTTCTAACACCTTGACAAACTTGCAGCTAAATAATCACTCTCTTTTTGTGGCAATATTATAGAAGGCTTACTAACACATTTTTCCTCCAGTCGTATAATGTTCTCGGCTTCGATAATTTCCCTTTTTATTCGGTTAACACTCCTGCCCAACACGGTGCAGTCGTTGAAACGCGGCGAACGACCCCCATACCCGTCAGTGAATCCCTAAGTGGAAAGAGTTGGCGATGACGATGTGGTTGTTATGTTAAAATAGGCCGTCATTAAGGCATCGCCCAGATTTTCCTGCGTATTGTCTTCCACAGGACAGGGCGAATGAATAGGCAGCCCCCTCAACGCAAAACACAAAGTTTGTTCTGTGCTACTTAGAGCAGCAGGTTGCTCGATTTGAGGGTGTAGTCACGTATTTGTACAGGCTGGAGGTTGTATTGCGTGACGTTTGTCACGCAATAAAGAGTTGTTAGTGGGCGCTGTATAAGCGTTTCTTTTTTGTTTGTTTGGTAGTGTTTGCGGCAATTTTCGAGTGAGCTGAAACGTCCACCACCATCCTAAAATGTGCGTAGTTCGGGTAGCTCGAAACAACCGCCTCAGCTCACTTTAAGCTTTCAAGCCACGTGTGACCATAGCTGCATCTTGGAAGACCTCCAGGTAACAATCTCCTGGCAGGCGCCATGAACCCACTTCGCCGTATATGTGCCTCTCAATTCAAGTTTACACAAAAAAGCCATAGAGCCGATCGCAGCCATCATCGAAGAAAGGGACAAAAATAGAGAAGTTGACAAGCCTAAAAAAAAAAAAAAGTCCCTTCAAAAAAGTGCCTTCCTAAGATGTTTTTAAGTGAAAATGTCTTTCCGCAGGAGGTCATTTTTGGAGCACCTTGCATACCTCGATTAGCTTTCCGCGTACTTCGTGGAAAATATAGCTTCAAGGCGTTCTCTACGCAGAATATATTTTAACGGAAGCTATGTATAAATTTGCTTCAACGTCTCCGTAGCGAGCGCCATAAAGCGCTGCGTTCGAGTAATCTTAGCGGAAAAACTTACTTCAATATTATGGCTGGCGTCATTAATCGTCATGTGCTAACGTAGTTGCTGCTACTCTAGATCACGTGGTATCATTTGCTTGTGCGACTGTGGGTCATGACTCCAGCTCGCATGGAGTCACAATGTCACGTCATGGTGTCCCGTGACTCACGGCGCGAAGTTGCGGTGTTACGTTATGTCTCGTAGCACCATGGTTAGAAACCCAACGTCAGTAGAACTACTAACAACGTTGGTTACGTGAAACACGTGATTTAAAGTCACTCTGGAAGGCTGCCAAAGTTTAAGTGTGCCTTCCCAATGTATTCTTCGTGCGCAACGTCTTTCTGGCACATTAAAAAAGAGCTATTTTCTTAGAGGGCTACTCATCTCACCCATGAAACTACTTTGAATGCTCGCAGGCATTAAGCCCAAACTACGCGACCACTACCACGCGCACCGCCTCTCCGTGTGGACCCAGCTTATCCCCAAGCTGCACCGGTCAGGTGGTGCCGACGTTCCCCGTTCCCACCACCTTCTTGAAGACTTCGACGACCCATCCAGCTACGACGGGGTCGTACGCGAAGTCCCTTCGCCGACGCCGTCTCCGTCTCCCACGACGTCCCTTACCCATTCGACGGTGGACTCGAACACGGCGCACGGGGTCAGCGCGGGTGGCGTGAGCGGCGCGGGAGGACTGTTGACCACGTCGGGAGGACGTGGCCGCATGGCGCATGACGCAGCCGGCGAAGGTCGTGGCGGTGTGACGACGCCCGGAGACCCGAACCAGACGGACTCGCAGGCGATGGCCATGCCGCAGGCCACGTACTCCACCGCGCTGGGCGTCACCATCGCCGTGGGATGCTCGCTGCTCATCCTCAACGTGCTCATCTTCGCCGGCGTCTACTACCAGAGAGACAAGGGCAGGGCGACAGACAAGGGCAAGAAGAGGCCCTTCGAGGTGAGCCTAGCCGGGGCTGCTTTCAAAGAAAAAAGAGCTCTGCTGTTTTTTTTGTTTTTTTTGTGAAACAGGGTTTTCTTTTTCTTTCTCTCGGGTGTGTCTTGGATATTAATTTTCTTGACGATGCTAAATATATATACTCGGATTGCACAACCTTTTACATTGTGTTCTTAGGTGTGCGTTAGTCGCGTCAGGCTGGGCCGCTTCTTCCCTCCAAGTAGCTCTTGCGGATTTGCAGTCTCACAGAGCGGGCATGAAGTCAACAAGAGGCATCTTGAAAAACGCTAAGCTTGGTAACGGCTTCTAGGGTGTCGGGGCGAGATTTTGTTGTAATACATAGTAGCCTTCAGAATGAAACAATATTTCGTCGGTGTTCTGTTTTTCGAAACATTGACGCTCCTCAATGGCAGACTCACAGACAATAGCTAGCAGACTGCAATGATATTTACTACATAACTGTAGTGCGAATTAAATGTTCTTCTTAAAATATAAAAAAACAGACATCACGAAGCTACTTGTTAAACAATGTAAACAAAAAAAAATCACAGAGACAAGAAAAATAAACTCCTTCAACCGCCTTCCCGAATCTACAATAAAAAAGTGACTGAACAAATCGGCGCGTCGTTTAGCAAAGCTAGAAGTCAGGGTGGCGAGGTGGATGAAGTGGATATGTTACATGGAATGTACAGTCAGAGACAAAAGTCTCCAGGACGCACGAGCTGCGACTGAAACGCATTGCTCTGCCATCTGCCGGCGGGTCGCCTGGTTTCGAGATCACACAAAAGTGCATGCGCGTCCTACTGTGCATGCAAACATGTATGTTTTCCAGCTGTTCCGCTGCGCAGCGCCTAACTAAGAATCGGGTGCGTGGTGCCACTTCGGAGATAGCACTTACTGACATGGCACCTATAAAGCAAGAAGTCACGGCAGCTCAACTGAGCGATAAGCTGAACTGGTTATAAAGCAAGGTGGGCTGACACGGCGAAATGCGGCGCAACGCCGCAGGCGGTATCTCCAGTTTCGGAATGTGTAGCAGACGCTCGTTAGCCGCAAGCCCTATTTCCGAAGCGGTACTACGCGCTAACTTCCGAGTTAGGCGCCGCGCCGCAGAAGAGCGGGAAACCACACGTTTGCAGGCACAGTAGGACGCGCATGAGCTTTTGCGTGATCTCGAAAGCAGCAAACCGGGCGGCAGATGGCAAAGCAATGCCTTTCAGTCGCAGCTCGCGCGTCCTGGGGACTTTTGTCCCTGACTGTACCTAGAAAGTTGCATTTGAAGCTTGAGCGTAAATAAATAATAATGTTGACTGACAAAATGATAACTGAGTCATCTTTCACTCCAGGAGCTCATTACAATTAAAACTCAATCTTAGATATACTAGCATACCTTGAGTTCAAAGGACTAAAAACACGGGTTGTAAAAGACGTAAGATATAGTCATCATTGAAATGACAGTTTTAGGTGAAGCATCAAGCAACGCGGTCGGTAGCCAATTTTATTTTGTTTCCCTCGCCACCATTGACAGCCTCCACGCATGGGCGACGACTTGTCTGGCATGGGCGGCATTCCAGCGTCTGAGCCGGCGTCCATCCTCTCCGGGGGCACTCTGAAGAGGCCTCCGCCATCGTCGCCTTGTGGGCAGCTTGGTGGGGGATGCACCGGGCACCTAGACTACAAAGGAACGCCTCCATCTGTTGTTGGTGGATGCCTCGCCGTCGCACCTCCCAAGGTGGGTTCGCGAATCCTAACTAGTATCTTCTTCATAAACGCCACCCATGTGTGATCTTTATAATAACCGGACAGGTCTAGTCGACGGTTGGCCAAGCCGCCAGCTTGCTGATTATAGACTTTGCCTCGGGTATGGTCATCCACATGCGAGTTAACCCTTTCATGCCCAAAATATTACTTGACATACTGGAAACCTAGAAATCCTGGCGTGGCTTTACAACAAACAGAATACTATAATCCTCGTGCTAAAAATAAATCTTTTCGTTGACGTAAGTCTGTGCGTAAGCTTATTTTCAGTATGACAATACAGCATTGCCTTGGAGCTGAGGCAAAATGCGACAGCAAATGTTGCCTCACTGGGCCCCTAACAACATAATAGACTAGCAACACAGGCTAAACTAGAAGAGAGAAAAACAAATGCTACATGAAAACTTCAAATACACTAGTATTTACAAAACTTACAAGGCAACAACACGAATTAAAATAAAAGCCACTGAACATATTAAACCCCATTAAAAGCCATTAAACAACATTTAAGAAATACATCTTCGATTGTTTTCTGGAGGTCTGCGGAGAGGAAGTGCATCCCAATATATCAATTAAGTTAAGGTAAATGTTCAGGCGATTTGGACTTTCCCAATTCAAACTTTTAGTGCAATAGTTCTGGTTCTAGTCTTTTACGCAATGCCTATGTCTGAAACTCTAGTGTGTATCAGATATTGAATATGTAGAAAAAATAATTTTGGGGGTCGTTTCTTGTACCACCCAAGAAAGGATTTTAGACAATCGTTCGTTATAAGGCTTCAGTATTCAATGCGCGAATTTATTGAACGAAGGAGGAAGCAGTATTGAAGCTCAGTCAGCATTAATAAACCGCGCTCCTTTATTCAATATTAGGTACAAACTTTTAATATTAGATTGAGGTGTAACCCCCCTCCCCAGTCCAGTAAGCAATACTGTAGTTGCGAAGCAAGATTAGGCGAATTTAAGCTGACGATTTAGCCACATAGCAAGTAATGTTCCCGAACTATTCAGCATGCCTCCAAATTGTGTGATACAACGTTTCACAAGACTGAATGGAACATCCAACGAAGGTTCTCATAAAACTGTACTGTTAAAAACGTTTTATCAGAAACCCGTTCCAAGGAGTGTGATTGAAAGATCAAGGAGCTAACAAGATTCATTGGTCTATTAATGGAAGGGAAGACTTGATATCTTTTTGTTTTAATATTTAAAAGAAGCTGATTGGCGACAAGCCATTTGGATAGATTTTTTAACCACATATTTATGACGAGAATATAAGATGGGGAGTTTCTGGATAGAAAAGAAAACAAAAATGTGTATTGTCTGCGTAGAGAACAATGTCTGGAATTCGAGGGATGGAAACAATATCATTAATACAGAGAAGGAACAATACTGGTCCCGATATGGGTCCTTTTGGAACACCATGTTTTATGTATTCGGTGTCGGATGCTGCATCACTAATCCCTACAAACTCTACTTTCAGAGTTTTATAATATTTGTGTTCGTGTTTGAAACATATTTTGTGAACAATCTGTGTTCTCAAAATGTTGAGTTTAAGCAACATTTATCATTTGCCGTATTTTTTTACGTCCAATGACTGAAGGCAGTTAGGAGAAGACACACGTGCACTTGGCGTTTTACATAGTACAGAACCCGTTTAACTAATTTTGCAATTATTGGGCCTGTTTTCCTTTTCTTCCAGTGTTTCGAGGTCAGTGGTACACACCATCATACTCCCATCCTCTGTTAGTTTGGCTTTAAAGAGCAAGTGACCGGTTTTGGAGATTCAATTCGATTCTTCATTGCTAAGCGCAGGTGCCCTCATTTCTGCAACAGATGGGGCTAAACTTATTGAGGCGGACATGGCGAGGGAAAAAAATCATTCTTTAGTGGTTGCTTCCAAGCAATACTGGACACCAGAGGGATAAACTTAACATCCAATAAAATGGATAGATTCGAGGCGAGTTTGAGTTTTGTCCTCCAGGTAGTGGGTGCCAAGTTTTGAGTGATGTGGAATACTCTTAGGAAAGATCTGAGGTTGATGCCATGGCTGCTGTTATTTTTCAGGAAGGTTTACAGCAACCGATGCTCGACCGAAAGTTCGAGGTGCCGTCTCGTGGCAGATAAAGAAACTATTCCCGTGTAGAATATAGGTTTTCTTTGAAACATTAAACGCTTTTTAACGCTATCCCCAATCCCCAACTTTTGTCCGTCCGCCTTTCCGTCCGCCCGTCCGTGCGTGTGCCGCTAACATTTAGTGGGGAAATGGCTTCACGTGACATCAGGTGACCCATACACCGTGGTGATATTGACTGCGCGTGACCTTTACGTCAACTCAGTTTCCTCGCTAAATTTAGCGAGAAAATTCACATCTTGTGACCCATATGCCAATTCAGTTACACACTATATTTAGAGGGAAAAATAACGTTGTTCGACCCAGGCACCAGTAGAGTTTCTCCGATAAATATAGCTGGTGAAATCGACATCACGTGTCAGGACGTCACGTAACCTATGGAAAATTTTCGTTCCCGTTTAAAATAGTCGTAAAATATACGTCACGTGGCACAGCAATTCTTTCACCAATTCCCTACAATTAATTTCAACAGCATAGCCTAAAAACTTTAAGGAAAAAATGAATGCTATTTTTTCTTCTCTTAAATTTTTACATTCTTACAAATTACCGCTGTAAAACGAGCCGGAAAATCGGCGACTTAAAATAGAATGATCTGATCAAACGTTCACCGAAAGTGCACTGAGAAGTTCAAGATCACCGTGTGAACTGTCGAGGCGTAGTTCTCTTTATGTAATGAAATTATTGATACGAAAATCCGGCCGAGACACTGAGGACTGTTTGCATGTAGGCATGCCTACGCATTCCTACACGCAGCGCGTTTTAGCAATCAGCGCGCCACGTCGTCCTTTTTCGCACGGTACTCCGGCAGGGACATCACGTACCCCCACTGCGCAGGGGCGGTGAACTCCACCAATTTGACGACGGCATCCCTGTCAAAGCGTTCCCGTTGCTGTGCTTTTCGTTGTGATTCAATTCTGAGGCGCGTCCGCATTGACCTTGAGCGCCCCCGCAGGCTTCGGTGACGAAGAATCTGCGTTGCTGTGCTTTTCCTTGTTTTTTTATTTTTGAGGCGCGTGCTTTATGGCGTATTGGTGCGGCCATCTTTCGGGCACAACGCGGCCGCTCTTTTGAGTAATGGGAGAAGCAAGGCTTTCGCTTTAAAATCTTGCCAAAGCCAACCACGGATGCATTAGCATACGACGATCTCCCGATAGGCGCAGCAAGCATACGAGCCGTATGAGTCATAAGAGGGGGTCCACGGGGACTTTTGTCGGTAGCTTTGCTGCTTGGAGAAGACTGCGCGAGAGAGAGGGAGAATAAAGCTACGGAATAGATATCTGTGATCAGGTCTACTTCATGAATGAAATAAAAAAAATGCTTAGAATCACAATCTCTTTGTCTGGCTTGCGGACGGTTGTGTCTCGCAATCCAGTGAGATTATGTCCCCTCTCGGTGCTTGCTCCTTGTCTCCTCTAGCATCGGAGAATCCCACAAAAGACGTTATTGATCGGCTGTAGCGTACTTGCCCCTGAAGGACCATCAGCTGTCAGAAGTCGTCTGCGAAGTTAACTGTGCTCGCGTCGCAGGTGCGCATGACTTGTCAGTCTCGATCCGACGTAGATATCAGATAACGCACGCTGTTGTCTGCTTGCTGAGCCTATTGTGAAATGACGCAACCAGTAATTAGCATCGGTACTCTGTTGTCTGCGAACAAGCCCAACGCTGATTTTGGCAAGTTTTTTCGCTCTACTTTGCTAGACGAACACAACAACGCATTGAATTTTCACACGATGTAAGACTTATCTGCTCATGGCACTTTCAATAATATTTTTATATTTTTATACGTAGCGGCGATTGTGCTGGTTTGTTTTATGACGGAAGGTTTGCTTAAGGGAGCCAATAAATGCGTAACACAAGTCTTCAAATCAAAGGATATATGCAACACGTCTAAGCAAGTTCGTCATCAGTAAAAAAAGACGCTTAAAATAAATGGACGATCACTTCGGGATAACGCTGTTGACAATGTCGGTCGTTGGATTGAAAATAAAAAGTATTTGTAGCGATATATTTAATATAGTAGCTTTGCAGTAATAGAGGCTGAGAGTGCACTGAATTGCGGTTAGAAACAAAAACTGCCTCGGTCTGCTAAAGTATATAATTATATCGCGAATCGGCGCAAGGATTCTTTCGCCATGTATCGGGGGTCTTGGAGGAGAGGTGCATACATTAATGCAGAAAAAAAAGTCATTGGATGGCATCTTGCGCTATCTAGTTAGTGTTGCATTCACTTGAATAGTTGAATTACCCGGCCCACCTTGACGGCGCAACACCACAGGTTCCCCCTAAGCCGAACGGACTGCTGCCTTCAGACCATCCCGAGTCCCAGCCCTTGCTCCCGCTCTCGGCTTCGGCTCGGGTCCTGTCCCCCGGAGGTCCGTTTCATCAGGCCACGCTTTTGAGGCATCAGCAGCATCAGCAGCATCAGCACCAACAACAGCAGCAGCAGCAGCAACAGCAGCAGCCGCAACAGGGCACGGGTCACAACACTCAGGAGCTGTGCGTGTGAGTACGTAAGACAAATTTTCATCCTCCTAACTCACAGTGGACATCATCCTCACACGGGAACTTATTTTATACCTTATATCTAATCTCTCACGTGGATTTATTTCATCCCACTCCTCGTCTCCGTTGACGGCCCTAGTTTTGTACTTGGATGCAATTCAACACGTCCTAGTTAACAAAGGCCCCAGTGCTGGATGTGCGACGTCACCACCTGGAGGCCAACGCGTGGCACAGTTTAGGCTCCAGTGTTCAACCATTGATAACACAAGTCCCAGCCGAGCACTCACGGAACAATCGACTTCATTCCATCCTCAGCGCTTGCCTTCTTCAGCTTATATGCTACATTCCGAATTACCACATTATTACACAGGAGGTGCGATTAATCACGGCGAAATGGGAAGTTGAGCGACGCCATGTCCAAAGCGCCCGTGCTTAGTTTCTGACCGATGGCGGCGGCTGTGATACAGAGTAAAACAATATACTTCCTATAGAAGTATAGCGGAAGCATTTTTATCAATACTAATTAAGCTTGCACGTTAGTTTAATTTTTATGTGATACCTCAACAATTTTACAAAAACCTTTGTCGACCGCCTTTTTTTTATAAAACTGTAAAACAAAATTCAGACACTTAAGATACATACATTTGTTTCTGTGCCATTTACGCAGGTATTTTAGCTGTATTTTGCCGGAAAAGTGTATGAAATAAATTTAACTGCTAGAGAACACACAATAGTTTATAAAAACTATAATTAAAAAAACACAATTTTAGCATACTAATAGCCGATGAGTTTTGTGTAGGCACCTTATAAGAACTTTATAAATATTTATGGTTTTATACACTGCCTTTGGTGGAAGATCGGTGCGTGCTGGTTTGAGGTGATCTCTCAGTTCGGTGCTTGTAGTTCAAAACTACATTCACAAGTATTCAATGCGCTCTAAAATCCGAAACATTTGTTAAGGACGGCCAGGGACTGTCTTGGGCAGGCATTTATTTTCATTATTTTCTTTTTTACTCCGATCTACTTTCCTTCGTACGATCATTTTATTCAACATTGTTTTGTTTTTCTCGTTTGGACATATCTTATATGTGTCGAGATTTATTTTTGCCTACACCATTGATTGTTGTTTGGCTCAGTCTACGTTGCTTGAAACTCAAGCCTGCTTACAGCTAAATGAATACTTCATTTATCAACTAATATATTTGTTTATTTTTATATATTGCCTCCGGACTGCTGTGCTGCGGTTGTTGTCTTTCCCTTTGCCTCTAACCAGCAGGGGCGTTTTCCGCAATGCGAGTGTCGAAGCCGTGAGATATAAACCTTGGCCCTATGTATCATTTGGGTTGAGCGGGTAATTTCAAGTAGGATTCTGTTGAGTCAAAACATTTTTGGGGGGTTATAACTCTGCTTGAATAAATATAACAAAGGAATATGAAATCAGGAGACTGGCTTGTTAAGGCAATATCTATTATTAGAAGTACTTGAAAGCATGCAAATGGCACGATTATTTTAACACATAAAGCTGCAAAGCTCAGTCAGAAAAAAGCCCATAAAAATGTGCTTCAGATTAAACAATCACATAATCTTTTTACTTAAAAAATAAAATAACTTAAAAGGAAAGTGTTCCTTTTCACTTTGAACAATAAATCACAGGTAAAAATTACATAACAGCAAACGAAGCAAACAATCTGTCTCAACCATATGAGTACCAGCGTCAACCTCCCTTATACAAACAGGATAGCAAGTGCAAATTCTTTGTAAAAAACATACGGTTAAATTCTGCCTTCCGAGGTTTGGAGGAGTATTTGCGTGGGCTGTTCCGAAACTCCCCAATTGCACTTGCTTTACTTCCTGTATTAGGCAGTAACGGATGAGTTTATTGATTCTGTTCAGTTTGCTCTACTCCTGATGTTCTAGTCTGCTTTTAAGTTCGCTATGCACGTGCACCCCTTCTAGTCAAGATATCCCAGTTGACAAATACAAGAAAGTCTGGGTATGCCCAGCTATAAGCTAACTATCTGTCATCTTGTAAATATACCCTATAAAGCTTGCATCTTTCATAGCTCTAATTGCATCCTTGCTGACCGTCAACAAAATGGTCACCCAATTCGTTAGCCACAGCTAATGTGCTACGGGACATTTTAATCGAACAAAAAGTGAAAGTCATTGCATATAAGTTGTGATTCAGAAGTGATAGATCGTAGCATGCCCCTTCGGCAGTTCATGCGAAGTGTAGCCCAGGTGGAAGCATCACAATTACACTCTTGGCTTTGAATCGCGTCTCAGTCGCACATTGACTTCAATGAATTAAAACCACCCCAAGGCTGCTCGCCTGCTGACGCTGGATTTGTGTCTTGTCCCACATCATCGTGATACATAGAACCCAGAGGCAATTACATAGATCATTGTTTTACATTTCGCTCATTATGAAGAAAATGACTCAGAAAATAGTCTTTTGCGAACGAATTGTACTAAATATTCCTTTGCTTGTCCCGAGCGAAAGTATCTACAGAAGTATTAATGGGCCTTTGAAAGAAAAAAAATGCTTGCTTTATTTTTAATGTCAAGTAAATTCTGGCGCAAGGGCTGTTGTGCTAACGTTTATGGCGCATATGCGTAAAGGTCACTGCACTGGTCTTTTGGCGTCTGCAGGTAATTAAGTAAAACATACACTATTTCTCTTAATATGACGACGTATAGTTAGCTTGACAATGCTGAAAGAAAAAAATATCCGATATTCCTTTTTCGACTTTTCACACTGTACACTCGCTCCCGCATTCGCTGTTTTTAGTCTTTACAAGACCCATACCAAGCCGGAGCAAGAGCGAAAGCGGGCGCCCTGCAATGAAAGAGAGTTTTTGGACACTGTTTTGGTAGAGCGTTGTAGGCATTAGGTTCTGGCAGTGCCGCTTCGAACAATGTTCATACTCTCGCACTTGGTCAGTACGGCTTAAAACAAAAAAAGAAAACGTTTGCTAGACTCCCTAATTTGAGCTCAATACATTAGAAAATGCTCACGGCGGCATTGTCAAGGCAGTATTCAGCGTAAAAATAATCACGAAAGAAAAACACCTTTTTTGAGTCTTCCTCTGTATGTTTCTTATTTCCTCCTATGCAGAAGCTTCCGAGATCGCCGAGAGGAGACGACCGTCTAACAGCGGGTGGTTTCAGCCTCGGCCTCTCTTCCAAGCGCACGCTCAAAGACTATATCGGAAGCGTGACTGCTCAGAGACAATGACCAACGTCGCGCCGGTGCCGATCCGACGCCTTCTCTGATGATCCCCTTCCGCGGAAGTGGAACGAAAAAAGAAACAAAAGAACAACATCGGCATAGCGGGAGGCCGGAAACCACGCCACCGAGAACTCTCGAGTGCAAGAGCACCACGATCGCTTGTAAGAAACTCCTCGCTGTCCGCGTTGTATTATTGTTGCAGTCCCTTTCTACCAAAGACAAAGACTTAGAAGAAGGAAGGAATACATACAGTACACACTTTCCGCCTTGATTGTGAATGCATGTGTGAGTGTGTGCAAAAAAAGGTATGTGCTAGTGCGCGCGCGCAGCTTCTGGTACATGTGCGCGAGTGAGGGAGAAGCGGTTGAGAAAGAAGCGGAGTTTTTATTGTTCTCGTCGTGTGTGTGCGTGACACTGAGCCGGCCTTTGTGAGTCAGAGACGACCGGGAAGAAATGGAAGGATGATACCACGCGTTCAAAGCAAACCCAAAGCAGAAGTCACCATAATGGAACTTTGTTTTAGCAAAGTAACCATAATAACTACCACGCGCAAAAAAAACACAAGAAAAAACATGTTATGATTTTTTTTTTTTTTTAATATTTGTAAACGTTCAACGTCCTGCATGAACTGAGCAGTGGAATCGTAATGTCCGGCAGGTTCGATGCTCTAGCGTGCATTGTGCCTTACTGCCCGGTCCTGCATACGAAGAAACTTACATTTCTTGACGAGTCATCTATCCTGGGAGAAAACAAAATCGAAAGCGTAACATTATAAAACTGATAGCACTATATTTGTTTTATGTTTCTTTTAGATCTAAGTTGCCACTTTTATTTACTCTGATGAATCACACAGGTTTTAATGCTGTGTTGCGCAGAAGTTTGCTCAGGGAGTTGAAAATGATTTCCTACATCTACGAAAGTTTCATTCGTTTGACCTGTTTCGTGAGCACAGTTTCAACTACGAAAAGCGCGTTAATACTTGTACTTATATTGGAGAGCTAACAAATATTCAATCAGTCCGATGATCGCATAAATAAGGACCTTGCGCCTCCACACCTACTTGAGGCTGGCTTGTCTGTAACAACTCGGGAAAGCAAACTGGGCAACACCTTATCGGAAGAAAGGCAAAATGAAGCACTCAAACACCCAGGGAACAAAAATGGATGCGCAGCGCAATGCCCACCAAGCAAAAAGATAGTGTCAGACCCCAGCACACTTCTTTCACCGCCGAAAAGCTCTCAAGGTGCACTGTCCTATTTTGGAGCTCCGACTCGAGTGAGGTGCTGCCTCAAGTCTCGCTATACATTTTGGTTCATTCAGGAAGTCACGTTGTCATGATGTAGAGCAAGGCGCGATGATGTTTCGTGGTGCGGTAGAAGGTTTGGACGGGCCATGCATTATTCAGATGGCGTTGCCTATTCTGCGCGTGCAATCGCCTTGACATTTTTGTTTCTTTGTTCAAACTGTCTGAGGTAAGAAACGTCGTCTTGTGGGATTTGAGAAAGCCGGCAATAGTCACCTCCAAAGCGTGTTTTCTTTAAATATCCGCGCTATACTTCGGTTCATCTTCAAATAAAAAATAGGGAAAAGAAGGCTGTAAAGCGGTCTTATTTTCACATGTGCCATGGTTTATCGAACAAGAGTTGCACCGTGGTTAAAGCACTTAAAGCGTGTCTGCGTCACTCGTTCTACTGCCAGTACAAGACGAAAGGGTTTGCTTTTTAGAAACTGCCGCTATATGGTTTGTACAGATTGCTTTATACAGACAGTTCCGGTAGTCAAGAAATGTATGCCAATACTTCTGAAGCATCGGTTTTGGCATTTACTGACATAGTGTGCAAAAATACTCCAAAAGCCGGGAGACGTCATAATTAAAATAAGTACACCGACTTGACATAACAGAAAAAACAACTTCATTAGACGTTTCGCCTCCCATGCGGGAGGCATCATCAGTAGTTACACAGCAAATGCAGGGTTCAACCTAAACACAACGCTATTTATCACGAATGTCCGTGTAAGCTTCGTGGAGAGGGCCGCGGTTTTTGTTGCACAAGGATGTGTCCCTGCGAAGAAACCACGATTCTAGAAGCTTTCGGGGCCCCCATCTGTCCTCTCTCGCCAAGGTCGTCGCGGCCGGAAAGTCGAAAGAATGCCCCATTGTCCACGCATGGTCCACCAGTTCAGTCTTCAGTCGCGTCGCGTGGGATGCGTACGTGACGTCACGCTTGTGTTCTTTGAGTCTGGTATCTCTCCTCCGTCCGGTTTCGCCAATGTAGGACGCTGGGCAGTCACTGCAGGGGATCTTGTAGATAACGCCTCTTTGGACGTTCGCCGGGGTTGGGTCCTTTGGTTTGGAAACGGAATTTCCAATAGTTCTGTATGGCTTGAAAACAGTTCGGATGCCAAGGGGCCTCAAAGCGCGACTAAGAGGTTCGGAGACTCCTTTGACATAGGGGATGCACACTACATTCTTATCTCTTTCCCTTTCGCACGGTTCCACATTTTGTTTCATTTTGTTTTTGAATCGTGGTTTCTTCGCAGGGACACATCCGTGTGCAACAAAAACCGCGGCCCTCTCCACGAAGCTTACACGGACATTCGTGATAAATAGCGTTGTGTTTAGGTTGAACCCTGCATTTGCTGTGTAACTACTGATGATGCCTCCCGCATGGGAGGCGAAACGTCTAATGAAGTTGTTTTTTCTGTTATGTCAAGTCGGTGTACTTATTTTAATTATGACATAGTGTGATCGTTAATTACGTCGGACCGTTGATTCGGTCGGAAGTGCTATACTTCTTAAACCTGTATTCTTAGTTGGGACTCTAAGGTTATAAAACGTGATTTTGAATGTTTTGGGGCACATAGCCTTTCCGGATCAACAGGCTTTGATTAATGTTTTACCTGATCATTTGATGTCATTTTTTCTATTTGCCACCATGAATAGCTACACGCCAGATTTCCGAGAAGTAGTTGGGCGAGGTTTTCAAAGTTAGGATTTGGCTGCCAGGAGCCGTGAACATCTGTCTCAAAAATACCTAAAGAGCATTACCTTTAACTCAAAATATTGTTTTGTCATGTACTCGCAACGACACGAAATGACTAAACTTCGACGCTGTCCGAAAACACACGACACAAAATGTATCGGCCAACACATCAAACATCAAGTTGGGGCAAGGTTTTGGTGCAAATCAACTTAGAGTAACATCGCACGATTATCGGTCCCGTGCACGCTGTGTAGCCCCGTCGGTCTCGAAACATGTCCCTAGACCTATCCAGTCCCTGTCCTTCTGCCATGTGTTTCATTCTTCACATGGCTGCCTTTCTTTCGAAAGAGGATGTAGGAAAAATCCGCTTAAAAGTGTGTTTCACGAAGAGAAGAGACTCAATTAACGAATCTTCTATCTTGTTTGTTTAATGCTCCATCAAGAAACAAAAACAGAGTGGCGTTGGCTTTCAATATATTACGAACCAATAGTAAACCGACTCCTTAAGCTCTAACATACAATCAGTGAGGGCTGCTGCTGCCAGAGCCATATAGGAGCTGCAAAAGAGGCCACGGATTACGAGCATGGAAGAACCGCCTTTAAGATGACACCGTCTTCTCTCGCACGGCTTTTCCAGGAACTCCTGCTTGAGAGAGCTGAGAGCACATAACGGCCAGCGCTCGCCTGCCACAACTAGCAAAGGCCTGCTTTTCACAAACACAATTTATCTTTTTGAATGACCTACATAGTCGAGAGCAACATAACAGTTCGCTGAAATGATCTTTAAGAAATGCATCGGATTTATAAGGACAGCTTCAGGGTTATTGTGTTCATAGCATGTTGACTAGATGACGTCAGAGTGTGACGCGACATTATGACACCGCGTGACTTCAAGAGTTGCGTGACTTAATGACGTCATGTGAAGCCATGACGTCAGGTGATTCATGAGGTGACATGGCCTCAGGGACATTAGTGCGTCACATGACGTCACAATGTTAAGGGGGACTGTGACGCATCTATTTATTCACAACACTCTCGCAATCTGCCCTTGTGTGGCTTCCTTACTGTTTCTCCAAAGGAAGGAGCTCGAAGAGTTCCAACTAGCCATTCCTTAAGAGCGCCTTTGGGAAATGCCAGGGATGTCGAATTTTTTTTTATATTATTATCGTCAATGAGAGCTTCATCTAGAAACCTGTATTCTTCATGCGGACATTGTGAAGTCAGCGGTAATCTAAGAGAATGATATTTAAAAATCAGGAATTGTCTCAAAGACCATATAAGTCCCAGTGACTGAGAAAATAAGGTGGCACCGAATGAGCAAAGAATATAAAGAAGCAATGAACATTAAAAAAAAATAATAAGCAGCACAACTTTACTTAACCGTTCGGTCATTCAGCATGCAAAATAAATTCTGCGGATAAAATAGATTGGCACATTTGTGGAGACCTCTTAGCGGTTATCCTGCAACTAATGGAAGTACAAACAAGGTAGATATTAAATGTTTCTTAACGATTTATTAAGCAAGAAATCAAAGCAACCTCTGCGTTTTCCTGCATTTTATTATAGGACAGTTTTTGTCAAAAGTAGAAGGCTATGTAATTTTATACCGACGATCTTGTTGTGAGCTTGTTCAGTCCTCACCTCTCGAAATATATTTGCAAGGAAAAAGGACTTTTATTATTGTTTCACTGCTCGGATTTGTAGGATTTGGCTGGCTTGTACCCGTTCGTGGAGATGGTAGATTGCTTTGGTTCAAGAACATGTAGTCATTTATTGATTGTTATCGCCGCGCGCCGCGACCCAAAAGCCGCCTCGCACACTTCTGCGCCGGCCTTCTATCAGAGGCAAGCCGCCGCTTGCGTGGCCCATCGTACTTGGCCACCTCGCGGTTGAAAATAGACAGAGACGGTTTCAGATGCCGGCAACCTGGTCCAACACA